AGTATCGGGCCCGATACCGATACCAGTATCGGTATCGGTGCATCCCTAATAGAAATGCGTACCTTTATTATATATATATATATATATATATATATACACTATACAAATATAAAATATAATATTATTCATATTACAAAAAAATCCACCAAAACCAACAAATTTTCCCTAGAACAGATTTTTTCTTCAAAAGTTATAAGTATACTTCTTTACCAAACAGACAACAGTATAGGCTACTACCACCTTACACTCATTCACTAATCCCTGCATAGTTCATGGTTGTGGAGCAAGGAATGAAGTGAGCGAATGCGGCCGCTGACTCAACTATGCGTCGAAGAGCTGAGGCAGAAATGACTGTATCCTACACCACCCAGTGGCAAAAGCCTAAAAGAGCCGTGTTTAAAATGTGTTTCAATCATTTTAGTACAACCATTACATTAAAGTACATCCATTGCCTACAACATAATTTATTTATATGTATTGTATTACTTTTCATTTTAAAGAAAGAATTCAACACTTAAATAACTGATAAATCGTATAGGTCTATATTTAGTGAGCTGCTGTTTATTTAGGTCATTGGCTATGGGTGATTTATATACAAGTAAGAATACTTTAAAATCAATTACAAATGTAATTGGAATCCAATGTAAAGACTAGAGTAAAATGCTCAGATTTTTTGGTTCTGGTCAGAATTCTCTATAAACTGCTGATATGTCAATACAACAAGCACTGTTACTGATACCATACTGTTTCTTCCAGGGGTTTGCTATCAATTGCCTCAAAATCAGACATAGCAGCTAATTTCTATTGTGAAATTATATAACCTCTCAACTTCTGAGATATCAGGAGGACTAAAGGGTCTACAAATATCTTGTCAAAGATATAGCCTACAAAAATAACACTTTAGTATTCTCGTTTAGGCCTATTTTGACAGAGACAGATCTACTACTTAATATACTCTCACTGTCCACTTTGTTAAGACTTCTGATAAAGGCTGTACACTAACACAGTGGACATTCTGACCTACAGTCAGCCATTACATACAGGTTTATCAAATAAAGAACTGCATGGTTTTTAACCATTTAATTTTAAAAAATATGATTTCCTACTGACTTTTTTCATATTTCGGAAAAATGAAAAGATTAATGAAATAGCTAGAAAAACGAAATACGATCTCACTCACATTCCTGTTTTTTCCCCCTCCAAGTAAGTGATGGCAGCTTTATGATTGTAATTGACAATTTAATTGTCATTTTTCTCTGCCAGGTTTCATTTGAAGTGGAACTTGAAAGACATAAGAACTTTTATTATAATTGCTACATTAAATTTAATATTTGAAAAAAAATCTATACATTACAGAGAACCCATCAATGTGATAAAACTGGAAAAAAAATCCCTCATAACTGTTGTATCATGAAAATGAAATATGAGCCTGCATGGGGACATAGGAAAAAAATATATATATGGTGGTTTAAAATGAGGTAAAATTTTTACAATTATTTATGCTTCAAGTTCAATTGCTGTTATTTATGACACCTTTAAAATTGATATAGTTTAGCATTTTAACGCAGTGACATCATGATCTTTACTGGGAATACAAAGGGCACCAAAAACTAAAAGAAAACGTCAAGTCCAAGTATAATAAATCAGCTCTAGAGAGGATAATACAGTTTTAGTGAAATAAGTGCTGCAATAGTTTCAATTAGAGTTTCAATTTGACATGGCAAGGAAGGAACCAAAACTCTTCCAGGATGATAGTAGTGATGAAAATAACCTTGAGAGGAACCAGTCTTCACCGGTGGTGTATATTTAAAATAATTGCTCCTCTCTCTCCTTTACACTCTCTATACCATCTGCATTTCTGACCCATTCCACACTGAAAAATAAAAAATAAAAAAACTTCCTGAGGTCTTAAAAACCTCCACAAGCAAATACTAGAACAGGGGGTAGGTACTCTAAAGTAGGTGCCCTTATAGGCTGTAAATTGTATAAAATGGCACATTTAACAAATGCGGTCCACTTTGGTGTATAGTTATTTATTTATTTTTTAAGTATCAGAGGCTCAAATCTCACCTTAGGAGAAATATTAGATAGATTTTTATCTAAATCAGCAAACTTTAAACCCTTTAAATGTTTTTGGTCTATCTTACCTCATCTTGACCTTTTTGTCTGTATCCAACAATTAAAGTCATACAATAAGTAATGTTAATCTGATATATTTTATTCAGTGTAATATGCAAATACATTTATGCATGAACTAATTGCCAATAATGTAATATTTGTGTCCCACATTTTGCATGCAACAGTTATTTCCCCGCATTACAAGTTTGGCAAAGGTTATAGTATGCGTATGTATATATATGCAATAAATAAATAAATAAATAATACTGAATACAAATTAATTGGTGGTAGTCCCAATCATAGAGTTTTAGTTTGCTAAGAAGATTATTAATTCATTAATTAATTAATTTATTCATTCATTTTTATATGACTCGCTGTGGTAAAAAAAAGATGACAAGATGACATTGACAATGTGCACTAGGCTATTATAGACTCTTTTGGTCATGATATATTTGTGAATGTGACTCTTTGTAAAGCTGAGTCCAGCCTATTAAATAATTATTGTTTACACATATAATGAGGGAGGATAAAATACTGACACCCTGCATCATTAAAATACAGCATAACAGCACAATAGCCAGAATTAATTGGCAAACTGTATTAAAGATGTGCTCAGCAACTGTCATGTTGGGCTCTCATTTCTCATAAAAAATAGTAAGCCACAGTAGATTGTAGAGACCATTGGTGCCAGTGGTTTATATGATCTTTATAGGATTCTATGATCTTTGTAGGATCTATCATTGTAGGATTACAATGCTTTTAGGAAACAAACAGCCATTGCTAATATAAGTCTCGTCTTGGACTTATAGGTATAACTAGTGGTGTTAATGCAACTTTATACGAAAGCTAAACATTTTAGTTGTCAATGCCATTGTTGAGTTCATTATTCTGCAAGTGTCCAGTGACAGGGGTGTTATACAAAATCTTTTTTATCTGTCACTTCTTTAGAGAGTTACAAACTTTTTTGTTTAACCACAATTATTTACAATTCAATCTGGTAGGCTATGGACACTTCAGAAACACTGCTTTGGTTTCCAAACTTGTATGATTTTTTTTGTTTCAAATCATTGGTTCGGAGCTGTACATTAAAGTTTTAGAATATTTAAATACGACACACGTACCAAACACCTTTCTTTCGACACTCTGCACTCCTGTCCAGTTATTCGCGGTAATGCAAAAATAGCTGGTTTGCCAACTGCCAAACAAACTCCATACGAGAAAAAAAAGAAGAAGATTTGCACAGGTCTGCAGTAGATCATGGATGTATGATTTACACATCAGCTTCAGCATCTCTGCTTGAAAAAGTAAATAAAGTACAAAATCAAGCCTTAAGAATATGCTGTGGAGCATTTAAAACATCCCCTAATATCAGCACTACAGGTAGAAATGGGTGAGATGCCATGGGAGCTTTGTAGATTAAAATTGAAATTGGTATATTGGGCGACTATAAAGGGGGCATTCAGAAATACACCCAGTTAAAACAGTGCTAAAAAAAATAGCAGGGAACATGAATATGTTAATTTAAACAGCTTTGGATGGAAAGCAAATAAAGAGGCTCATCAAATTGAAATAAGTAACTGTGTTGTTTGCCCAACTGTAGTGCTGCCAGCAACACCACCATGGTTATTTCCAATGCCTGTAGTTGACTTTCAGCTTCTAATGAATGATAAAGATAAAGCTAGAATAGAACCTAAAGATACAGTAGTTTCTAAATACCTGGATCAGAAATATTTATCATCAATTACATTATATACAGATGGATCTAAAGATCCATATACAGGACACACAGCATCACCATCAGTATACATACCAAAATATAAGTACAGAATAGCAAAAAGAACGTCTAATTATAATATCAGTTTATAAAACACAAAAAAGGAGCTGTAAAAAAATTGTGAGGGGGAAAAAAAGGATATTGAGAGCAAAGGACGCCATCTATAGGCCTATTCAGAGATTAGTTGGATGTGACAGGAGAAGTTTTGGAAGCAGAAGAGAAGACACTGAATTTGACACTGCACTTAATCAGTCATCATTACATATCATTGGAAAACATGAATCCGGATGTTGTGTCAGATGTGAGCAACCTGAAACAGTCGAGCATGTTCTAATAAAATGTAAATGATATGAGAATGAAAGACAACAACTAATAGGGGTTTTAGAGATTAGAGATTTTAGAGTTCTTAGAAATATAGGAATACAGCTTTCATAGAGAAATCTGTTAAATAAAGATGTAAGAGTGTTCAATATACTGTTAAAATATCTAAAAGACACAGGATCAATAAACAGGATTTAAGAGAGATTATGTATTTTTTCCCCCCATCAACATCAACGATCCACACTCCTTAGCAGTAGGTGGCGGAATATGTACCAAAAGCGGGTTTGCCAGCCAAGCGTCAAAGAAGAAGAAGAAGAAGAAGAAGAAGATTAACAGGGAGTTGTAGTTATCAAATTCACCGTGAATTCTTCCTATTACAAGCAGTAATAATGTCTGAGGACAGAGCTGAACGATCAGATGGACGTATAGTGAAGATGGAGATTGACTACAGTGCTAATGTAGATCAGCGTCTGCCTGAGTGTGAGAAAATGGCCAGAGTAAGTGTGAATGAGCGGCTGAGTCATGCTGCGTGCTAAAGCTAACGTTCATCAAAGCATTCCAGAATTAAACTATATGAATGATGTGTTTATTATAAACCTCTGTAGCACGTTTAATTGAAAACAAAGTTTTTTTTGTTATGCATACATAAACTTCTCAGGAAACTGTTGTGTAAGTAGACATTTGACTGGGTTTTTAGCCATAGATACTTCACCATTCATATTTCATCTCTGAAAAAACAGTTACTGCGAAATGCACAATGATTTGACCTTAAGCTTTAACATGCGAAGAAAAACCCTAACATAATGTTCTGTTTTTGTTTTTAAGGATGGCAGACTGCAGGAGGCCATCGAAAGTCTGCTGTCACTAGAGAAGCAAACAAGAACTGTAAGTGTCTCACTGTGATAATTTCATCTAGATTGAATTTATTAGCTCTTAAAATGCTCTGTATTGTTTGCATGTGTCACTTCTGTCCAGGCTTCAGATATGGTGTCCACCTCCAGGATCTTGGTGGCTATAGTTCAGTTATGCTATGAAGCCAAAGACTGGGATGCCTTGAATGAAAACATCATGCTACTGTCTAAGAGAAGAAGCCAGCTGAAGCAGGTAGGAATACTGTTTTGAACATATCATGGAGCCAGGGATTCAGCTCATGATGCCTAATAAAACTCCTTCGATCACCTGTACCAGCCTGTCAGTTTAAAAACATATCTACAAAATGTGTTTTATTATTATTTGGGTAGTATGGAGAATATGCAGAGATAATAAATGAGAGTAATACCAAGGACAAGAACAGCAATTGAGTAAAACAGCTCTGACAACTTACAGTATGTAACCATATGTCTTTGGACCATACAGTGTGCCAACATTTTTTTTTTTTTGCAACATATTTCATGTATAATTATAATGTTACATTACATATGTGAAATATAAAACAATAGCTGGACATTTTTGGTAAAGTGATGTAGTGAAGATGAAGGTCATGAAGATGGCATAAAATGGAGAAATCAGTGATTTATTTTCATAGTAATTTTTAGCCCATTTCCACTGATATTAAGTTATTCTTGCCGTTATTTTTGTCACATGCAGTAGTTGGTTAACTAAGAAAAATCAACAAGTAAAAATTATTGATCTCTAATTTTCTTAATATCTTGTTTTGTTGTTGGTTTCCTAGTAGGGCTGCACCCTACTAGGAAGATCTGAAAATCTCCGTCACGTGCGTGCTTTCACATGAAGCAGCATTTACTACACAGAGCCGTTGTTCACAGACAAGCTGCGCAAAACCACGTTCTTTTGCGCAGCTTGTCTGTGAACAACGGCTCTGTGTAGTAAATGCTGCTTCATGTGAAAGCACGCACGTGATGGAGATTTACCGCTGATTACAGAAGCGGCTTTACTGACAAGATGCGCATTAAATATCGCATCCGATTTATCGTGCAGCCCTATTTCCTAGGATGACGTAGGTGGTTATAACATTCTCTTAATTTTCCTTTAAAGGCTGTTGCAAAGATGGTACAGGAATGTTATACATATGTTGATGCTGTGACTGACCTGTCAATCAAACTCCGACTCATTGACACACTACGCACCGTCACTGCAGGAAAGGTCTCCACTTCCACTGTTTTTATAGCTTTATCTGTGTACCAGATCTATTTCCTATGAGCTTTACACTTTATTCATGCTGCATATATTTGTAGATATATGTAGAGATTGAGCGTGCCAGGCTGTCTAAAACATTGGCCCATATAAAAGAGCAAAATGGAGACGTGAAAGAGGCTGCATCCATTCTGCAGGAACTGCAGGTGAGTGTTAGCGAGAGATTTGATCTGCCTTCGTGCTCTTAAGGCCTATTCAAACTAAATGTGAATATTCATTATGTGAACATTTCTGATGTTCATTTTCAGATTTAATTTTTCATCTAATATTTATATTTAATTTCTTTTCATATTATACAATTATAACGTTGTTTTTTTTTATGTGCAATGTTTAATGTATTTATATATGATCTTGGAGTGTACAAACTAAAAAGTTAGTTTAATTTATTTTATTTTATTTAAGAAGCACATTTCCTGATAAACAAGCATGCCATATGTTGATTATTATGTAATCATCATGTTAATATTAAAAGTGTGCTCTTGGTGCAACTTTTACTTTCTCAGCCTGAATTTGTTTCCTTTAACCTGGCGCATTCACACTTGGTTTGAATAGACATTTCTTAACATTCTAACCCTCTGCAGGTGGAGACATATGGATCAATGGAGAAGAAGGAGAAGGCTGAGTTCATTCTGGAGCAGATGAGGCTGTGCATTGCTGTCAAGGACTACATTCGAACACAGATCATTAGCAAAAAGATCAGCACTAAATTCTTCCAGGAGGAAGGCAGTGAGGTTGTCATTCTCTTTCTGAAGGAACTTCTGTTCTAGTCTTCTATTTACTCTGATTTCTTGTCAGTTTATAATCTTTGTGGGTGGTGTGTTTAGTTATTCCATTTTTATAACAGTTTGATTTTCTTTAATGTTTAGGATTTGAAACTGAAATATTATAATCTGATGATTCAAGTTGATCAGCACGAGGGCTCCTACCTGTCCATATGTAAACATTACAGAGCCATATATGACACTCCTTGTATTCTGGAAGACGCCTCCAAATGGCAGCAGGTACCTTTATATTGGCATTATAATTCTTGTCTTGCTTATTCTTTTTAGCTTTGCTGCTTACTTTAGTAATGCAAAAAACATTGTCACTTCATTTGCAATCTAGTTTTATTTAAAACTGAAAATGTCCCATGTATCTTTCAGGCTCTGAAGAGTGTAGTGCTCTATGTGATTTTGGCACCCTATGACAATGAACAGTCTGATTTAGTTCATCGAATCAGCATTGACAAGAAACTGGAGGAAATACCCAAATACAGGTAAAAGATCCAAAACATACTGGGAGTTTCTGCAAGAGTTCAGGGATGTTGCAAGCATGTTAGGTAGAAGAGTTTACCTTTCTCGTCACTCCCTTGCAGGGATCTCCTGAAACAATTCACCACCATGGAGCTGATGCGCTGGTCATCTGTAGTGGAGGATTATGGAAAGGAACTGAGGGAGGGTTCCATGGAAACTCCGGACACTGACGTCTTCAACCACTCAGAAGAGGGAGAAAAGAGATGGAAAGATCTGAAAAACAGAGTGGTAGAACATGTGAGTTGGTCTAATTTTTGCTGAAATGGGAAGCCTAATTGTTTATATCTGTTTTTAGCCTGTCACGCTCTTAAAAGAATAATTCAACACAAAATGTAAATTCTCATTAATTATTATTGTAGTTATTCAAATCCCATGACTGACTTCCATGGGACACAAAAGGACGATTATAAAGTGTTGTACTAGTTGCTCTTTTCCATGCGTTTTCACAGAATGGACGCTGGGGCTTTCAAGCTTCAAAATAGACCTAAAGTGTCATAAATTTGGACTAATGGACTCTTTATATAAATATAAGCCATGCAGTAGCTTTGTATGAGGATGAGACCAAAACTTAAGATGATCATGTTAGGGCTTATAATGCTATAAAATGCATTTAAAGGTTGCATAGTTTGCAAAATACTAGTTTTTAGAATAATATTATTACTTTAACATCTTAATTTCAGTGTTATACATTTTTGGCAATAAAGGGAAATGTACTAATTTAGTTGTGTTTTGAACCATGATTTGTGTTTTCCGTTTTATTCCACTGCTAATAAATAACTGTCTGTCTCTCCATTACCAGAACATCAGAATAATGGCGAAGTATTACACAAGCATCACGATGGGGAGAATGGCAGCCCTGCTCGACCTCTCTATTGATGTGAGTTCTGTACTGAAATAATATATAACTTACTTGATGTTATTCTTTCTTTCTTTCTTTCTTTTAAGGCTATTAATCAAGGCTTTAATGTTTTTCCCAATCTCTCTCTCTCTCAATAATAACTAATCAAAATGTAAAACATTTCAACAAATGTTGACAACTTAAATATTTATTCTTCTTGTAGGAATCAGAAGAGTTCTTATCTAACCTGGTGGTCAATAAGACCATCTATGCGAAAGTGGACCGCCTCGCTGGTATCATTAATTTCCAGCGGCCTAAGGACCCTAACGATCTTCTGAATGACTGGTCTCAAAAACTGAACTCTCTCATGTCTCTTGTCAACAAAACTACTCATCTCATTGCCAAGGAAGAGATGATCCACAACCTCCAGTAGAGCCTGTCAGGGAGTCTTTGGTACACTTTTTTTTTTCACCGTGAAACATTTGATTAAACAAATGTTAAATAAAGATTTGCTGTTAATGCTTCTGTTTAAATTATGTTATTGACAACAATGTGGCCTGCACTATTGTGTTTGTGACCTCTGGCAGTAGTTTATGTCCAAAAAAAAATCACTCTAAACTCCATATGAAGCCTCCCATCCCTCCCATTGTATTAAGTAAATGCCTTGTATTACATTTAAACATTACTGAAAAAAATGCATACTATTCTGATGTTGCTCCAGCCTCCACATTAAAGTTTTTTGGAAATAATTCTTGGTTTGTTAATTTACCATTCAGAGAAAATTCAGGCAAGGTTGTACAGTTTGTTTAGGATTATTTAAATTTGTATTATTGCAAACAATACTTTCTTGATTTTCTTGATATACCTTTTGCATTAAAGAATGCTTAAGCTTCCAGTAGACAGTGCTAGATTTAAGTTTGTTTATTTGGTTCCACAAATTAAAAAGTCTTTCCAATAGAAAAAAATAAATAAAATAACAAAAACATATATAATCAGTTGTAACCACTGAATGCATTGTACATTTTCAGTTTACGTGCATCTTGAAATGGGTCGTTGGTGGAGACCCAATTTTCGGTTCTGCACGTCTAGCCTGACCACGTGACCATGTTAATCATGTAGTTTCATGAAATGTAGTTTAATTTATTAAATGTTTATTATTAATTTAAGCATAAGCACTGTAGAGGTCGGCGTACAACTTAACCTTCCCATTTAAGTGATGCAGATGTATTTGTACGGTACAAATACATCTGCATCGCTTAAATTGGAAGGTTAAGTTTACAATGGTTATAACAAAAAAAATAAAAAATTAAATTAAATCTGAAAATACCCATTGGGGCCGTTCTCTATGTCTCTTTAAAATGATAGGGATAAGGGCTAAGATGGTCCCTATTGGGGTAAGAAACCCTTCTTGGTAAAAATGTATATACAGCTGAAGACAAAATTATTAGCCCCCTATAAAATATTTCATTATTTTTTAAATAATTCCCAAGTGCTGTTTAACAGAGAAGATTTTTTCAACACAGCATTTCTAAACATAATAGTTTATTTAGGAAGCTTGGAACGTTTGTAATACAAATAGAAACAAAATTATAACCAAGAATAAAAAAGTCTACAGGTCAAAATTATTAGCCCTCTGATGTTTATAGTCAATGGTGTATCCCTTGTTCTTGATAACAGTCTTTAGTTATTTGTTGTAGTTCTCAGCAAGTTTCAGGCATGTCTCCTGAGGAGTCTTCCTTAGCAAATCTCTCAAGCTCCTCCAGATTTGTTGGTCTCCTAGCATGGACTCTGGTCTCCAGGTTGCCCCACAGATTTTCTATTGGTTTCAAGTCTGGGCTTTGTGCAGGCCAGTCTAGGACGTTCACTTTGCTCATTTGGAGGTAGTTCTACACCAGAAATGACGTATGCTTTGAGCTGCTATCATGCTGGAAGACAAAACGTCGACCCAAACCATGTTTTGTTGCAGATTGCCTGAGGTTGTCTTTCAAATTCTTCTCGTAGTCTTCTGTTTTCATGATTTCTTTGACCCTGACGAGATTCCCAGTTCCAAACGCACTGAAACATACCCACAGCATTATACTCCCACTGCCATGTTTCACTCTGGAGATGGTGTTCTTTGGGTTGAGCACCTGTCCCTTCTTTCTCCAAACATAGGCAAAACTATGGCCAAAGAGCTCTATTTTTGTCTCATCTGACCAAAGGACACGTTTCTAGAATGCATAGTTTTTCTCCAGGTTGTCCTTCAAACTTCAGTCTAGCTTGGAGGTGTCTCTTCTTCAGAAGTGGATTTTTTCTTGGTCTGCAACCTCGCAGTCCATTCCTGTGCAGGCCTCTACTGACATCTTCATTGAGATCTCAATCCCAGTCTTGGCTAAATCATTCACTAATGTCTTGGCAGTTGTTCTTGGGCCTTTTTAGAAACCACTCTCACTAGTTTTCTTTATAAAATTTCTGAAATCTTTCACTTCCCGTCTCTGTTCTCCACTGTGTAGGTCTCTTCAAACTTCTTGATAATACTTCTTCTCACGGCTGTTCTTGACACTTGAAAACGCTTTGATAAATGTGTATATGCTTCTCCTCCTTTGTGAGCATTGACAATTATTTTTCTCGAGTCTAAACTATTTTTTTTTGTCTTTGCCATTATGACAGTAGTACATATTATTTTACTAGTTGTTTTGCAAGATCCTCATCTTACAGTGCAATATAAAGGCTTAGAGGATTAATTAGGTTAATTTGACAAGTTAGGTTAGTTGGGCAAGTCATTGGACAACAGCGGTTTGTTCCATAGCCAATCAAAAAGATAATTTCTCAAGAGGGCTAATAATATTAAACAGAGCGATTTTATATATATATATATATATATATATATATATATATATATATATATATATATATATATATTATTCCAGGCAAATTGAAATAAAGCTTTCTCCAGATGAAACATATAATAAGAAATACTGTTAAAATTCCCTTGCTCTGTTAATCATCACTTGGGAAATATCTGAAAAAGAACTGAAATTTCATAGGGTGGCTAATAATTCTGTCTTCAACTGTAGCTAATGTATAGCTAAATGTGTATATGACTTTTAGTTTTAAAAAAAGTGTCGTTGATATAATGTACAAAATCAACTATTCTATTTTTATTTATATTTACTTTCACAATTTATTTTCTCGATAAAACCTGCGTTCATTTGAGCGGATGAAACGAAAAAAAAAAAAAAAAAGTTTGACGTGATTCAGTCATCATGCGTGACTGAATTTAGACACGCATAAGAGGTATGTGAAATGTATTGTGAAGTTGTCTTGATGCGCTCAGTCCAGTCTCCGCTGTCATGGCTTGGTGTGATCGTGGCGTTCAGATTGTTTTGACGAGCCTGGGCGCGTTCGTAGCGATCAGCTTGATGACTGTCGCGATCGGAACCGACTTCTGGCTCTACTCTAGAGCTCACATCTGTAACACGACCAACGCAACAGATGAAACCCACACCCCGCAGCAGCCAACGAAAACACGAGGAGATCTCACGCATTCTGGACTTTGGAGGATCTGCTGTATCGAAGGTAAATGGATGGGCAGAATTTTAATATGTAGACTAGTAGTTGCAAATAGAAATAAAAGTTGTAATTTCTAGGGGAGTGGTCTTATTAAATGCATTTGAAATGCTTAATAGATTTAAGAGACACACAGTTAAGGAAGAAGGAAGAATGTATTGAATTAATAAATTCTGCCATTTCTCTGGGACTGAACGATGTAGGGCCTTGAAAATGAAGATTCCAAAAGAAAAAAAGGAATTAGAATCTAAAATCATATACTACGCAGCAGCCAACGAAAACACGAGGAGATCTCACGCATTCTGGACTTTGGAGGATCTGCTGTATCGAAGGTAGATGGATGGGCAGAATTTTAATATGTAGACTAGTAGTTGCAAATAGAAATAAAAGTTGTAATTTCTAGGGGAGTGGTCTTATTAAATGCATTTGAAATGCTTAATGGATTTAAGAGACACACAGTTAAGGAAGAAGGAAGAATGTATTGAATTAATAAATTCTGCCATATCTCTGGGACTGAACGATGTAGGGCCTTGAAAATGAAGATTCCAAAAGAAAAAAAGGAATTAGAATCTAAAATCATATACTATGATATGAATGAAAACTTTACATATTATGTGCACGGATTTAATCAGTCACTAAACCCTCAAAATACTGGTAATGTGTAAACTTTACAGCTACAAATTCATATTCATATAATATACTAAAATGTATTTAGTAGTGTTGAAAATGCTGCCCAATTAAAAATCTTTTAAGTTCTACATGCCGGTGAATTTTTAAATCAGTCCTTTTACTTTTCAAAACAAATCTCAGTCAAAAATAACTGCAAAACTATTCTTTCTTCTCTTGTGCATTAATGAGAGTCTAGCTTCAAAAGGCAGGATTGCACCAGAGGCTCTTTCATTTGTCTTTTAAATAATCCTTTTAAAACGTTGACCATCAAATGAATTTTCAGGTAGAAATACCGAAGAACAGTTTTGACAATGCATGTCACACACACAATATTGGCTGTTTATTTGAGATAGTTAATAATAATAATAATTAATAATTTATTCTGTCCTTAGATGTGACTTTAAAGAAAGTCACCGAGAAAGCAGATGGTAAAAGATGATGAAAATGGAAACAAGAAAATACTTGTGGCATAGATATTTAACAAAATGTCATATATATTTGCATAAAGTAATATTAATATTAATTAAGATTAAATAAAAGTTTAATAATAAATTAAGAGACATTTTGGAGTGAGGTCACACAAAAGAAATATAAAAAAGAGAAATATATAAACTAAGCTAGGTCTAAACAGTGGGTCTAAACAACTGGAATTATGTTTATCTTGTAAGGTAGTGCAATCTTTAAATGAAATAAATTGGTATGGAGCAGTTCCATCGGAACATGATTGTATTAAACAAATTTTACTGCTTTTGGGACAAATGTGTCAGATTTTCTTTTAATAGTAAATGTATATGAATACATAGAAGAGCGAAACACACTCAATTGAAACATCATAGTTTCATTACATAAAATTCAGCATCACCTATGTTTGGCACAGGGATCAACAATGGGAGCTGCTATTGGATCAATCATTTTTCTGTGGATAATGACTATGACACAGACAGCTCAGAGTATCTCCTCCGTGAGTTCATTTTCTTCATCATAAAGAACGATTCAAAGTGGTATTCCACCACTGGTCTGTATGAAAAAATAAAGAATTAAAGAAGAATTAAATTTATTTTATCTGTATAGGCCATTTGTTTCAATATGATGTGTAATAATGTTAGCTAGTGTGTGTGTATAATGCCTATAATGATTGCCTATGCCTTTGTGTGTTGCAGGATTAGTGCGAGCATCCAGTCTCTTCTCCATCCTGAGTACCATCCTGCTTCTTTTGGGGGGACTTTGTGTCGGGCTGGGCCAGATTTATAGCAGCAGGAATAACATTCTCTTGAGTGCAGGAAT